TTTTTTTTTTTTTTTTAAGATGACTGGTAAGGGGATCTTAACCCTTGACTTGGTGTTGTCAGCACCATGCTCTCCCAAGTGAGCTAACCGGCCATCCCTATATAGGGATCCGAACCCATGGCGCTGGTGTTATCAGCACCGCACTCTCCCAAGTGAGCCACAGGCTGGCCCTCCAAGCTGGCTCTTCAATCCTAGATCTGAATGGACACCTGAGTCCCAGTCCACATGACAACCCTCAGGTCACTGATTCACTGGAAGGGCTCACAGAACTCAGATGGTTGCGGTTTATACAGTGAAAGTACACAGATTAAAATCAACAAGGGGGAAAGGGGCATAGGGCAGAGTCCAAGAGACCAGGCGAGAGCCTCCAGTGGTCCTCTCCCAGCAAAATCTCGTGGGCAGTACTTAATTTTCCCAGCATTGAAGCGTCACAGCACACATGAAGTGCTGCCAACCAGGGAAGCTCACCTGAGCCTTGGTATCCAGGATTTTTGTTGGGGTTTGGTCATGTCGGCCTGGAGCGTCTACACGGCTGACATTAGGTACCTGGTTCCAGTGCCTCCAGAGGTCAAGCTGATAGTGCATGGCCCATGGCCCAGCCATCACTCATGTTGTTAGCATAAAATCTCTGGGGTGGACAAGGCCCCAGGTAGGCGGAGATATTCCTTTGAGGCAGGACATTTGAAGGTTATAGGTTTCCTCCCATGAGCTGGACAAGGGTCAGTCTTTCTATGGGACATGCAGCTTTGAACACCCCAAGCCTGCCTGGTGCACCTGTTGCTGTAAAGGCTATGCCCGACCCGTTACAGCGAAATGAACAATATTTGTCTAAGCATCTACATGTAGCATTTCCAGGAGCTCAGCTGACCTTGGAGAGAGGGAGCTGAGCTGTCAGGTGTTGGAGGAGAGGATTAAAGCAACAAGCCAACAATGAAAGCTACGCCTTTGATCACTTACTGTGCTGGAACTAGGGAGACTCTAAAACCAGAGGAAGTGCGGACTCTTCCCTTTTAATTTTCCCCAGGGAGGAGCACACCCACGAGTTCAGGGCCAGGTGGATTTGTGCAGATGTGGGGTGGTCTCAGTGTTGAGGGAGACTCCAACAAAAGGCTCTAGCATTGTTCTGGACTCTGAGGTTGAGGGATAGGTGAAGAAAGGGCTAGTAGTGGAAAAATCCTGGGGACAGACTCAGTGAAGAAGGTGACTTGACGGGGACAGACTTAGTGAAGAAGGTGACTTGAAGGGTTCCGCCTCCTCCCTCCATGAGGAGGCCTCAGCCGAGGCACCTGAGGAGGACCTCAGCCCAAGGCCTCATATAAAGAAATGCAGGACATCAATGGGAATAAGAGCACGGCCAGCCAGGGGGGCCTGAGACCTTGACCACAGCTCCCTTCAGAAACCACAGTGCTTTGGTTGTGCTCAAGTCTGGTACTGGGAGGACAGCTCCTTCCGTGAGGCCTGCCAGGTAAAATCCTGTAATTACCTAAGGTTGGGCTTGAAAAATCACACATTGGTTCTTCACCAGGAGTCAAACTCCTCACATATAGGATTTGTATAACACGTTCAGTAAGCGTATCAATATAAATATGTCTGACATTTGGAGGAGCTGGTGTATGGGACAGGGATAGATTGAAACCAACTAATTAGTACTATAAAGCACTTACATACAATTTTATATTTAGTACCAATTTGATAATTCATTTTCCCCATTGATCTACACTGTTTATACCTTATGATAAGCTTGGGCAGAACTATTAGTGCTGAGATTATCTGATGACTAACTGGATCCAGTTCTTCCTCAGCCCACGCATTTTCCACCAGTATTACACCCCAAGGAGGCTTTAACTAAACCTCTCAGTACATTCAATCATCAATATCAGTATTATCACATGACTTATTTACATGAGGTAGTTGAATTTTGCCAACTACACCTGTGTTACACCATATTGCAATATGGTCATGGTGCAATTATATTTCACTACAGAACAAATCACTGAGAATTAGAGATGTTTGCTACACCTTCTCAACAGATGCGATGTCTTGAAGAAATGGAACTCAGTGGTCCAAATACTACACCAGTCTCTTTACACTATTTTGAGCTGTTGCATATACCACTAGGTGTGCGAAGACCAGTTCAAAGTAAGTGGGTTTTTTCTGTCAAGACCCATTTGTAGCCTCCTGGGGCTACCAGCATCTGAACAAAGTACTCTACTGGGCAGCTGTGTGGGGGGCCTTCCCACTGGAGATTTGTCACAGAGCCATCCGCAGTCTCTGTGTCTCTGTCGGGAGATAGGATGGCTCTTGTCAGCATTTTGTGCCTCCGACACTGCAAGAGGGATGTGTGGAGGATCATTGCATTTCTGCATGGCTGCGGCCCTGCCCATTGACCTATCTCGTGGGTGCATCCTGACCGAGTAAGGTCTCTTGCCTGCTTTAACACAGATGCACATGGGCTACTCCACGCATCCTAGCTGCTCAGGCTCAAGGGGCACACACATAGGAACCTCATGGACCTTCACACCTATGGAAGTTCTCGGGGGGCTCTTGGAATTTACATCTACACATGACTGCTCTCGCACCCAGAATAGACAGAAGAGACTCCTGTAGTCAGTCAGCAGGGATAGGAACTATTCTGAATACTGCGCATGTCCTCCTTACTGCAGGAGGTGGGCCCTGCTATATAAGACCCCATGTTTTTTTTTTTTTTTTTTTTTTTTTTGTCTTTTTTCCGTGTCCGGCAACGGATCGCAACCCTCAGTGTTGCCCCCGTACCGGACCGGGGACCGGCAACGGGATCGCAAGCCTCGGTGTTGCTTCCCGCGCCTCACTCAGCCAGTGAGCGGGAGCCGGTCTGTATGTGGGATCCAAACCCTCGAACGGGAGCGCCGCCGCGCTTCCCAAGCGGCGCACTACCCAGTGCGCCACCGGGCCGGCCCATAAGACCCCATGTTGAGTGTTATCTTGTGTTGATAGTGTAGCCACCCAGGAATGAAAGGTTCATCAACCCCAGTTCTTTCATCGTCCTTCCTTTTCTTAAACCTTGCTTTTACTTGTTTCAGACACAGGCTTGTCCCACTAAGATTGGCCCTCAAACTTTGAGAGGGCCACTGTACTCACTCACCCCCTTGTCCTTGGAACCGGAACCAGCCGCATTGACTCCAGTCATGCCTGGGAGTCCACTCCCCCTCTCCCAGCCCCGTGCTACCCACTCTCAGCTGGTCTCCATCTTCCTCTGTGTGGATGGGCTGACCCTCCTCACCAGGCAGGGTCTCCCCTGCACTCCAACGCCCCAGGGGTCAAAGGGACAACACCTCCACTAAATCATGGCACTCTCTGGTGCAGTCACGGTGAGAAAGGCAATCCTCCCAAAGCTGGTCAGCTATTGGATGGTGAGCAATGTGGTCCTGCAGGGAGGAAAGCTTCCTAGGTGCTGTACCCTCCCTGGTTTGGGAACCAGAACCCTTTCCAACCCTCCTCCTCAGGCTCACAGGTGAGCAGGGTTTGCTTCAGGTGGGTGCATTTTCTCTGAGGCAGGGTCTGCGGGGAGTCAGGGATCAGGAGTCTATTCCAGAACTTCTCCCACCTTCTTGTGCTCCAGCATTAGGTATCTGGCAAAATGCAGATCTGGGAGTTCAGGGAGCCGGCTGAGTCAGCCGTGCTGGACTGGTCCTTTGGCCACACAGGTGCTGGGGTCAGGAGATGCTGATGGGGGGCCCGGTAGAGTTGATGCCACCCTAAGTCCCCCCACCCCTGGCCACCTTAGAGTGCTGCAGCTCCCTTGGGACCAACAGCCTCACCAGGGCTCTGCTCCACATGGGGGTGGGCGGTCAAGAGAGAAATGCCCACCCTTAGTGCCCTTGTCCTCCATGGGCCAATGAGAAGGCCCCAGCAGGATTGGGCCTCAGTTGCCCACAATGGTAACTTCCTCATTCCTGCAAACTCATCTGCATTTCTTCCTTCCCAGCCTTGGTTTCCCCACTTTTTCACCTTGCTTCCAAGGATCACCTCCCAAATAAACAACCTGCTGCCAACCCCTGGTCCCAGGTGAGCATTTGAGGGGATCATGGTAAGACCAAGAATGTCTGGCATTTATGTGATGGGGAACACTGGGATAGGGAAGTTGTCAGAAGCACTTCCTCACGGCATCTCCACCCCCAGTCTTCCCAGCCCCAGGCATCCTAGAGCTACTACTCTCCTTCCATAAATTATCTTTCTGATTGAACTAACCTGAGATGGCTCTGTTCTTTTCTTCAAAAACTTGTAGAAATATTTAGAAGTTTGGGTGGGGTCTTGGACTCAACTGGACATAGGTGGATAGGAGGGAGTTGTCCAGGAAGCAACTTGCTTCCCCAGAAAGCTATGCAAGGCATCAACCTGAACATGCACATGTGTTTATTAGCAAATAATGGGACAAAGGGTACAGGAACCTGAGGCAGGCAGTCCTGACCTCAACCCTGGAGTGCTCAAGCCTGGGGGAGTGTGCTGGCACTGTGGTACCCACTGTACCCCACAGGCTACAGTAGACTCAGGCCGGCTGCAGGAGTTGGGGAGCCCACAGCAGAATAAGGAGCAGCAGCCACTGACAGGAGCCTGGCTTGGGTGAACTGCAGGAAATTAGCATCCGGATCCAGTTGAAGTGCTGACTGACGTTGGTGTAAACTCCGGGCCGGTTGGGCCGACCACAGCCCACTCCCCAGCTCACAACTCCAACCTGATACCACAGCCCATCCTTGTCACAGACCAAGGGTCCACCTGAGTCACCCTGAGGAGCAGCATAGGAGAGCCCAGTCTGGGACAGGGCAGTCAAGGCCAGTGGAGAGGCTGGGAGGAGAAGGAGGGGCTGCAGAGCTGGGCAGACTGGGTTCAAATCCTACTCCTCCCCCTGGCAGCAACTGATCCTTAGTTTCTGCATCTGAAAAGTGGGGCAATAGCCTCCCAGGGTTGATGTGAGATCAAATGAGGTATGATTAATAAAAAATAAGCGCGTTTTATAGGCTGGGCAGATAAGACTGCAAATGTGTTCTCATGGATAAAATTCAAGGGTGGGTTGGTGGGGAGACATGGGGGTTGCTTTCAGGCCCAGGGTTAGAAAGGATGGGACTCCCTGGTAGGGTAGGGACACTCACTTTGCAGGCATCTACGCTGCCATCCTCAGCACCAGCACAAACCATAGAATCTGGGATTATACCACGACTAAAAGGCTGTTTGAACAGGTAGTTGCACCTGGTGTTGTTTAGGATGGTGAGCTGCACTTCCTGGAGGTTGTAGGAAGGTGGCAGAAGTGCTGAGGGTAGGATAGGAAAAGACAGCAACCTTAGTCTGTGTCCTGCCATCAGGTGCAGGGGGGAAAAGAGGGCACATGGTACAGCAGTGGTGAAGGTGTCCCTGGCACAACCACAGTGCCTGAGAAATTGCTCTGGATGACTCCCCGGCTGTAGCCTAGCATCCAACATATCCTCAGTGATCTACAGTGTCACCAAAGGACTCAAGGGATGGACAGGCTGTTACAGATCCCCCTGAGACTCTGTTACCCTATTTGTATAAAGAAGATGGTAGCCCCTGATTGAGCCAGTGGAGAGATTCCTTAGCCCAGGCATGAACAGGGAGAGGGGCTAATGCTGGTGAGGTTTTTTATGATTAATACAGTTAATCAAGCTGTAATACAGTTGCAAGAGCCAGGCCAAAACTTCCCAAATTTGAGGTAAGACATGAATCCACAGATTTCAGAAGCTAAACAAACTCCAAGTAGAATGAACATGAAGAACACTGAGGCACATTTTACTCAAACTATCAAAAGAAAAGAGAAAGTCTTGTAAACAGCCAGAGAGAAGCCATTCCCCAAGGACAAGGGAACTTCAACAAGATTAACAGCCAATTTCTTTTCAGAAATCATGGAGGCCATAAGACAGTGGGATGACACATTTAAAGTGCTGTAAGAAATAATCAGTCAAACAAGACTTCTGTATTGGGCAAAACTCTCCATCAAAAAAGACAGGCGACATTAAGACATTCCCAGACAAATGCTGAGAGATTTCATCACTAGTAGACCTACCCTATAGGAAATGCAAAAGGAGTTAATTAGGCTGAACTGAAAGGACACTGGCCAGTGCGTCAAAGTGACATGAAGAAACAGAAAGCACTGGTGAAGATAACTACACAGGTAAATATAAAAGCCAGTATTATTATATTTTTGGTTTATAACTCCTCTTTCTTCCCAATTTAAAAAACAAATGAATAAAACAATAATTATAAATCTATGTTAATGGTTACACAGTGCATAAATATGTAAACTGTGACTGTAACAACACAGAGTGGAGGAATGGAACAGAAATTTTATATAGTATTAAGGTAAACTGCTATGAATTCAAAATAGTTTGCTGTAAGTTTAAGATATTAATTGTAATCCCCAGAGCAACCACTAAGAAAATAACTAAAATGTATATAAAGATAGAAATGAGAAGGAAATGGATATAATACATTAAAAAATCAGTTAAACACAAAATGAGAAAATAAGAAATGAAAAATATATAAGACATAGATATATGAAGGTACTTCAAAATCTGCATGGAAAGAATTGTACTATCTTTTAATTCTATTTCCCCATGAACTTTTTGAAGATCTCTTATAGATAGAAAAAATATAAGACAAGATACACACAACAGATAATACAGTGGTAGAAGTAAGTCTTTCCTTATCACTAATTACTTTCAATGCAAAGCAGATATTGGCAAAATGGCTTAAAAATATAGGATCCAACTCTATAATATCTACAGGAGATTCACTTTAGATCCAAAGACACACACAGGCTGTAAATGAAAGATTGAAAAGAGAGATTCCATGCAAATAGCAACCAAAAGAGAGCTGAGGTGCTATATTAATATCAGAAAGAAATAGACTTTAAATCAAAACTTGTTACAAGAGTCAAGGAAGGACATAATATATTGCTTTAAAAAGTCAAATCATCAAAAATATAGCAAGTATAAATAAACATCTACATATCTAACAGCTGAGCCCCAAAATATATGAAGCGAAATTGACAGAATTGGTGATAGAAATAGACAATTCTACAATAATAGTCGGATCGCAACCCTTGCTGTTGCTCCCGCACCTCGCTCAGCCAGTGAGCGGGACCCGGTCTGTACGTGGGATCCGAACCCTCAGCGGGAGCGCCACCGCACTCCCAAGCGGCGCACTGTAGCAGTGCGCCACCGGGCCAGCCCATAATACTCCATTTTTAATAATGGATAAAACATGGAGAAAAAAGGTCAATAAGAAAATAGCGGAGGATCCAATCAAGATGGCGGAATAGACAGTCTGCAGTGTCACTTTCTCCCACAAATCAACCAAATTTACAACTATAAAAATGTAACATCCGCCAAGTCGGGGCAGCTGGAGCACAGGAGAAGAGGAGGAGAGACCTACGGAGTTCATAAAGGTGGGAGAAACTACAATGAGAGAAAGAAAAAGCTACTCTGAGCATTTTGGGCTGCGGCTGCTTTAAGGCTCGAGCTGCTGAGCACATGGAGCAGGAGCCAGCAGAAGCCACAGCTGTGCCCTTCAGATGGGGTTACTTGGAGGTGCCAGGGGAGAAGAGGGCCTTGGCAGCCCCCAGGACAGCAAGACCACTAATAGGGTTCCCATGGACCCACGCAGGAGTAAGGAGCCAGAACAACTGAAAAAAGGGAGCCATTCAGAGGCTGATGAATCATTTCAAGGGACCAGCACAGGGCCCATCCCATGTGAAGTGTTTATAGCACAGGCAGTGGGAGAGATGGGCCCACTGGGAGAACACTGGGACACAGCAAGGACAGCTGATCTGCCCCTCAATCAGCACAGGACCACTCAGAGGAGACTGGTCAGAAATGCTGAATTGCATTGGGTGCAGTTTGATGAAAAAACTCAGGCCCAGATCAGAGATTCTACAGAACACAGATCCACCAGGTCTCTGGAGAGCCCGAAGTACCTATAACATCAGCCATTAAACCATGGGCAGCACAAAAAGCCTTCCCTAGGGAAAAAGCAGCAAAGCAGCAACTTAAACAACCACACAGCTCAAGTACTGGTTCCCACAGGAAGTTCACCTGTCTTAGAAGCAAAGGACAAAATATTAGTTCCGGCCCAGGCACACCACCAGCACCTTGGGGCCTGCCTTGGAAATGGAGGCTTGGGTCTGGGGACTGGCCCCCACTCCCACTTCCAGGCAAACAGCACCAGTGCCTCGGGGCCAGCCTGCGGACCTGAAGCATGGAGGAGGGGACTGGACCCCCCTCTCACAACCAGGCACACCATGCCAGCACCTTCAGGCCCACCCAGGGACTCAAGGCAGGGAGAAGGGAACCAGACCTCTCTCTCACAACCAGCCACATGGAGCCAGCACCTTGGGGCTCACCCAGGGACCTGGGGTATGGAGTTGGGGACCAGACCACCTTCCCACAACCAGGCACAACATGCCAGCACCTCAGAGCGCACCCAGGGACCTGGGGCAAGGAGAAGGGGAATGGTCCTCTCTCCCACAACCAGGCACACCGTGCCAGGGCTTCAGGGCCCACCCGGGGACCTGAGGCATGGAGAAGGGGACCGGACCCCTTCCCACAACCAGGCACACCATGCCAGCACCTTGGGCCCCACCCAGGGACCTGAGGCATGGAGAAGGGAACTGGACCACCCTCCCACAACCAGGCACGCTGAGCCAGCACCTTGGGGCCCACCCACAGACCCAGGGTATGGAGTCGGGGACTGGACCACCCTCCTACAACCAGGCACAACATGCCAGCACCTCAGAGCCCACCCAGGGGCCCGGGGCAAGGAGAAGGGAACCAGACCTCTCTCCCACAACCAGGCACACCAAGCCAGTGCCTCGGGGCCTGCCCATGGTCCTAGGGCATGCAGAAGGGACCAGACCACCCTCCCACAACCAGGCACACCATGCCAGCACCTCAGAGCCCACCCAGGGACTCATGGCATAGGGACGGGGACCAGACCTCTCTCCCACAACCAGGCACACCATGCCAGTGCCTCAGGCCCTGCCCAGGGACCTGAGGCATGGAAAAGGGGTCTGGCCCTCTCTCCCACAACCAGGCACACCAAGCCAGCACCATGGGTCCGACCCAGTGACCTGAGGCGTGGAGCCAGGAACCGGACCCTCCTCCCACAACAAGGCACACCATGCCAGGACCTCAGGGCCCACCCAGGGACCCGAAGCAAGGAGAAGGGGACTGGACCTCTCTCCCACAACCAGGGACACCATCCCAGCACCTCAGGGCCCACCCGGCCCAGAGGCCCGCAAAAGGGGACTGGCCCTCTCTCCCACAACCAGGTACACCAAGCCAGTGCCTCAGGTCCTGCCCAGTGACCTGAGGTATGGAGCCAGGGATTGGACCCTCCTCCCACACCAGGCACAAAACTCCAGCACCTCGGGGCCCACCTGGGTACCCAAAGCATGGAGAAGGGGACCGGACCACCCTCCCGCAACTAGGCACACGGCACCAGTGCCTTAGGGCCTGCCAAGAGATCCAGGGCATGGAAAAGGGGTCCAGACCACCCTCCCTCAACCGGGCACACTGCGCCAGCACCTTGGGGCCTGCCCAGGGACCTGGGACATGGAGAAGGGGACTGGACCCCTCTCCCACAACTAGGCACATGGTGCCAGCGCCTTGGGGCCTTCCCAGGGACCAGAGGCATGGAGAAGGGGACCAAACACACCCCACAACCAGGCATACCACCGGTGCCAAGGAGCATGCCAAAAACAGCACCTCTACATGGGTGGCCCACCACAGCCACCACAATAACCACAGCTGCTGCAAAAGTGGCTAGACGCCACAGCCACCACGCAGATGGTCCGCCAACCACTGGAGTGCATTCACACAAGAAAAGTCACCAGCAGAGACAAAGAAAAGAAGAGGATGTCTCTTTCCACAAAACCCATTTCAGAGTGACAGAAGAATCATCTGCTTTATGATAATACTGGGGGACCTGATCACACCTCTCAGCATTGGACAGATCATCGAGGCAACAAATTAACAGAGTAACCATTATTCTTTCAGAAGGAGAGAAGAAATCTAGGGCAATTAAAGGGGGGAGGGGGAGGGAATGGGAGTAGGGGAGTGATTGGACAAGGGGCATAAAGAATAATTATGATCTGTAACAGTATATATGCTAGTAATATTGATTTAATCAACATATCTCAATGTTCAACCCAAAAAATATGTATAATCAATTTTGATTCAATAAATAAAATAAATTAAGTAAAATAAAATAAAATTAGGGAAATAGATTGATGCATGCAATTTTAAATAAATGTTTTCAAAAAAAAAGAAAATAGAGGATGTGAACAACACTATAAATCAACTATTCCTAACAGACATATACAAAACAGTTAATCCAAACAAAAGTGGAATATACATTATTCTAATGTACATATGAAACATTCTCCAAAATGAACCATGTGTCAGGCCTCAAAATAAGCTGCAGTAAATTCAAAAATATTGAAGTCATATAAAACATTTTTCTGGCCACAATGGACTGAGACTATAAATCAATAACAGAAGGAAAACTGAAAAATTCATAAATATGTGGAAATTAAACAACACTCTTAAAAGACCAATAGGTCAAAGAGAAATCACAAAGAAAATTTAAAAAGACTTTGAGAGCAATGAAAATGTATACCCAACACACCAAAACACGTGGGATGCGGTCAAAGTGGTTCTCAGAAGGAAATTTATAGCTGTAAATGTCTACATCAGTAAAAAAGTAAAATTTAAATCAATGACCTAGAGAGATTGGACAAGGGTCATAAAGAATAATTACGAATTGTAACAATATATATGCTAGTAATATTGATTTGATCAATATATCTCAATGTTGAACCCCCAAAATATGTTTAATCAATTCTGATTCAGTAAAAAAATAAATTAAAAATAAATAAATAAAAAGATCATAAAACAAAAAATAAAATAAATAAATAAATAAATAAATGACCTAACTTTACATCTTAAAAATCTAGAAAAAGAAGAGCAAACTAAACACAAAACTAGCAGGAAAAAAAAATCCTGAATGGAAAAAAACAAACTAGAGAGGAGAAAAACAATAGAAGAAATCAATGAAACCAAAAGTTGGTTCTTTGAAAGATCAACAAAATTGACAATAAATATGCAGAAAAAGACCTAAGAAAATACTATGAACAACCACATGCCAACAAATTATGTAAGTTAGAGGAAATAAAAAAAATTCCTAGAGATGCACAAACTACCAAACTGACTTGAAAACAAGTAGAAAATCTGGGGCTGTCCAGTTAGCTCAGTTGGTTACAGCACAGTCTTATAACACCAAGGACAAGGGTTCAAATCCCTGTACACACCAGCCACCAAAAAAAAAAAAAAAAAAGAAGAAGAAGAAGAAAAGAAAGTAGAGAATATGAACACACCTATAATAAACAAAGAGACTGAATCAGTAATCAAAGATCATTCAAAATGAAAAACTAAAGATCAGATGTCTTTGCTGGTTAATTAGACCAACATTCAAACAAAAATTAATGACTATCCTTCTTGAACTCTTCCTAAAAATAGAATATAATGGAAAACCCTGATTCCATGAGGCTAGCATTACTCTGATACCAAGCCAGACAGGGACATCACACAAAGAAAGACAACTACAAACCACTATCCCTCATAAATATACAGCAAAAATCCTCAACAAAATACTAGCAAACTGAGCCAAGCAGCATATTAAAAAGACTGTACGCCATGACCAAGTAAGATCTATCCCACAAGGGCAATGTGGTTCAACATTTGAAGATCATTCTAAATAGTATACTAAATCAATAGAATGAAAGAAAAAACACACAATCATATCAATTGATGCCAAAAGCATTTGACAAAATTCATCACCCTTTCATGATAAAAATGCTAGAAAAAGAAACCTAGGAAAAAAAGAAACTACCTCAACGTATAGAGCCTATATATAAAAATGAAAAAGCTAACATCATACTCAATGGTGAAAAACTGAAAACTTTTCCCTTAAGATCAGAAACAAGGCAAGGATGCCCATGTCACTGCCTCTATTCAATATAGTACTGGAAGTCCTAGCCAAAGCAGTAAGGCAAGAGAAAGTAAATAAATAAAAGGCATCCAAATTGTAAAGAAAGAAGTAAAATTACCTCTATTCACAGATGACATGATCTGATAAGTAGAAATCTCTAAAGAGTCCACAAAAAACTGTTAGAACTAATAAACAAATTCAGCAGTTGTAAAATACAAAATCAACACTCAAGTATCAGTTGTGTTTCTATATACTACAATGACTAATCCAAAAAGGAAATTGAATTAAGAAAACACTCCATTTACTACAGCATCAAAAAGAATGAAATAAGATATGTTGTGTACTTTTAAACATCTAGAAAGACTAGATGTTTCAAATAAAGACTTATGTTTTCCACTATACACACAATAGCATTGAATAAACTATACACACATAACAAAGGCTACAATTTGAAAGTGTCTTCTAAATAGGAAAGTCTGGCCTAGAACCCTTCCCCTTCCTGCCTCTATCAACCCAGTGGACAGATAAAATAACCTGTAATGCTTAGAGGGGATTTTAACAATTTCACTTCCATAAGTGGTTTTTTGTTTTTTTTTTTCTTTTTGTCTTTTTTCATGACCGGTAACGGGATCGCAACCCTCGGTGTCACGCCCGCACCACACTCAACCAGTGAGCGGACCGGTCTCTATATGGGATCCAAACCCTCGCAGGGAGCGCCGCCACACTCCCAAGCACCGCACTCTACCGAGTGTGCCACCGGGCCGGCCCCCATAAGTGGTTTGAACAACAGTCTTTCCTATGAATTTTAACACACAGTGTACTCAATGTATTAGCATACTAACTGTACTTGTGTCATACACTGGCAACCTCTTTAACATCTAGAAAAACTAGACGTTGTAAATGAGGACTCATAGGTCCTTTACATGTACTGTATACACAGCAAAGTAAAACAGAATACACAAAGGGACAATGGCAAATTTTGCCTCACTATTAGCGCACTGGCACAGAGCTCCTGTACTTCCTTCTCCACCCGACTCCCCCAGACCCAGAGTACAAACACAATGTGTACTACTTAAGAGGTAGTCCAGCCATTTCCCCCCAAAAATTCATATTTCATATGAATTTAAACAAGAAGACATTTACAAAAATTTATACCTCTACTTTTAACATAAGCAGACACTTCAGAACATCTAGAAAGACTAGATGTTTCAAAAAGTACTGTAAGTACTACTGTCAACTACATGTACCGTAGTGAGGAATAAAATGCACACACAAAACAATAATTATAATATGAAAATGTCTTCAAAATATGACATGTCTGCTATGACAAGACATAGCAGCTCTATTCAAAATATTCAAAAGATAGAAAAAACTCAATCCTGCATCATGAATGAATGGATAAAGAAACTGTAATGTATCTGTACAATGGAATATTATCCAACCATAAAAAGAATGAAGTTCTGATACATGCTACAACATGAATGAACCTAGAAGACCCTACATTATGGGAAAAAAGCCAGATGCAGAAGGCCACATATTGTATGATTGCACTTATATGAAATATCCAGAATAAGTAAAGCCAGAGACAGACAGCTGGGTATTGATTCTCAGGGCCTGTAGGGAGGGGTTAATGAGGACTGACTGCTTAACGGGTAGTGGGGTCTCTTTTGGGGGTGATGGATATGATTTGGAACTCCATAGAGCGATGGTTGTACAATACTGTGATGGACTAAATGACACTGAATTGTACAGTTTAGTTATTTGATTATCTTATAAGAATTAGACCTCAAAAAATAAATAAAGAGGAATGTAGTATTGGTACATGCTACAAGGTGTACCAACCTTGAAGACAGTATGTTACATGAAAGAATGCAGAGACAAAGAGCCACATACTGTATAATTCCATCTGTATACAATATCCAGAGTGGGAAGACAGATGGAGACAGAAAGCAGATTAGCGGTTGCCAGGGCTATGGCCCAGAGAACTGGGGAGATTAAGAGCAAAGACTAAGAAGAAAGGATTTCTTTTTGAAAAGATAAAAATGTTCTGCAATTAAATAGTGGCGATAGTTGCACAATATTTTAAGTATACTAAACATCATTGAATGGTATACTTTAAAACTATATGCTTTAAGATTTCAAAGTTTGTGAATTAAGTCTCAATTTAAAAAATTGATACCTGAGCCCTTTCTCACACAGCTTTCCTCCAACCCTTCAACCTGTAGGCGAGGGATTGCAGGCCTGGGCCGAGCGGGCCTCCCTCTCAGCCTCTCCTTCTGGCCCATGTAGTTTCAGGAAGGGAGAGAACTGAGTGGTTCGTGCACTTGCAGGTGGGAGCAGCAGTAGAAAAGCACGTGAGGAGAGAAAGTTGCGGGCACCGGCAGGAGGGGCCCCAGCTGCACCCCACAACAAAGCAGGGGGCTGCTGTGGCTGGTGTGGCCGCAACAGGGGGTGGTGACGAGCGTCTGACTCACCCCCACCACCCTTCTCACCACCCCACTGTCTCCAGCCTTACTGTAATTCTCGCTGATGTCTCCCCAGCCGGTCACCCAGCAGTCAGGCCGGTGCTCGAACATGAAGGTAGAAGACAGGACACAAATGGGCTGGATGTACTTGTTGTAGGAGACAGGGGAGGCCAGCCTCACCAGGGCGATGTCACTGAACCCCTCACTGAAGTGGGGGTGCACAAGGATATCACGCACCCTGTAACGGTTGACGTAGGCCCGCAGGTTCCAGAAAACCACATTGGAAGCCAGCTCACCAAGCTGGACCATCCACTCGGAGGGGTCACGGTGACTGGCAGAGAGAAGAGAGCAGTCATGGACCGTGGAAGCAGGGCTGGCCACCTGTCCACAGCTGGGGGCCCACTGATGAGGTGAGACTGGGGTAGTTAGCAAGTCCTTCTGATGGCCAAAGGGCCCCCTGTGAAATAGGGGAGCCCAGAAAGGCCACAGCCAGAGTTCCGGAACCTGGGCACTAAGGGACTGGAACAGGAGGTTGTCACAGCACACCAGGGGTCTCATCGCTTCACAGAGCTGTCCTAAAGAGACATAAATTGAGCCAAGAATTTTAGTGGGCCCAATATGCAGCCCAAAAAGGAAATAGCAAATTGCACAAGTGCAGGTATGGGACCCTCAGCAGGATGGCGTCAAAACAGATCCCCGTGGGGTGCTAAGCACTAACCCCCCCCCCAGCCCATTCTCCCCACACCGGTGGTAGGAAGGTAGAATGAGGGGGATAGGGATGGTAGTGTCATTTGAGTTGTAAATAAGAAAGAATATACACAAACATGCGTGGGAAGTTTCTGAAAGAACACCACGGAAAACCATTCCAGAAGTACCTGAACAAGATTCCCTCCAGGACATCAACGACAACTCTTATACGTGTGCCCAGCGTCAGGCCAGCCCGGGGCTCAGAATCCACGTGCAACCTTCACTCAGGTGCCTGCACAGACCCGGCCCCCGCGCCGCCCGCTGGTATTATCAGCAGCACACTCTCCCAAGTGAGCCACAGGCTGGCCCTCCAAGCTGGCTCTTCAATCCTAGATCTGAATGGACACCTGAGTCCCAGTCCACATGACAACCCTCAGGTCACTGATTCACTGGAAGGGCTCACAGAACTCAGATGGTTGCGGTTTATACAGTGAAAGTACACAGATTAAAATCAACAAGGGGGAAAGGGGCATAGGGCAGAGTCCAAGAGACCAGGCGAGAGCCTCCAGTGGTCCTCTCCCAGCAAAATCTCGTGGGCAGCACTTAATTTTCCCAGCACTGAAGCGTCACAGCACACATGAAGTGCTGCCAACCAGGGAAGCTCACCTGAGCCTTGGTATCCAGGATTTTTGTTGGGGTTTAGTCATTTCGGCCTGGAGCATCTGCATGGCTGACATTAGGTACCTGGTTCCAGTGCCTCCACAGGTCAAACCAATAGTGCATGGATCATAGCCCAGCCATCACTCATTGTTAGCATAAAATCTCCGGGGTGGCCCAGAAAAATCACATATTTTTTCTTCATCTGGAGCCGGACGCCTCACATATGCCATTTGTATAACAGGTTCAGCAAGTGTATCAACATAAATATGCCTGACATTTGGAGGAGTCAATGTGTGGGGTGGGGACAGATTTAAGCAAACTACTAATTTATACTATAAAGTCATTGCATACTTTTTTTTTCTTTTTTCTTTTTTTTGGTGGCTGGAAGGTACAGGGTTTGAACCCTGGACCTTGGTATTTTCAGCACCACACTCTAACCCACTGAGCAAACTGGCCAGCCCTATTTTGTACTAATTCAATGATTCTTTTCCCCCTGTAGGAATGCTGATCACAACTCACTCCGTCCTATGGCCTTTTGGGCTGTGGCTTTAATTGCTACAATTTTTCCTCTGCACAAGTCACATAGCAACTGTGGGAGGTACAGGAACAGAATGCTATGCCTGTAAGATAAGGGGAGTGGGCTGGCCTGTGGCTCACTCGGGAGAGTGCGGTGCTGATAACACCAAGTACATGGGTTTGGATCCCTATATAGGATGGCCAGTTGGCTTACTGGCAGAGCGTGGTGCTGACAACACCAAGCCAAGGGTTAAGATCCCCTTACTAGTCATCTTCTATAAAGAAAAAAAAAAGATAAGGGGAGTGACACTGGCAACCACAAAGATAAGCAACAGGAGGCTGTAGAGCGCCTGGGAATCTTGCACTTCGCAGCCTTTCTCTCTTTGGCGCAGCTCCACCTTTGTCTCTAAGTCCCTTGTAATCCTCAACTTTCTGCACCCTGTCCCCAGCCCCTGAGGTGCAGAGAAAGCAGCTGCACAGCACTCAGATGGATGGTTACTCTGCCCTGTCTCTGAGAGCAACCACCTCAATCATCATCATCATCATCATCTCCTTGTAAACCACATGAAGTTGCCTGCTTCGTTCTTTGGCATCAGGATGCCTTCTCAGTTTGACGGGCATTATACTGTTAGCTCACACTTGGACACTCCCATTGATATGTAGCTATTCATATACCTTGTTCAGAACTATTAGTGCTGAGATTAGCTGATGATTAACTGGATCCAGTTCTTGCTCAGGCCAGGCATTTTCCACCAGTATTACATCCTGAGGAGGATTTAACTCAACCTCTCAGTACATTTGATCATCATTGCAGCATTATCATATGATTTATTTACATGAGGTAGTTGAATTTTGCCAGTACTGCCAGTGTTGCATCATATTGCAATATGGTCATGGTGCAATTCAGTTTCATTGCCCAACAAATGACTGAGAATTACAGAGATATTTACTACACTTTTTCAACAGATCTGATGAAATGGGATTCGGTGGTCCAAATACTGCACCAGTCCGTTTATACCATTTTGCGCAGTTGCATATATCACTAGGTGTGCAAAGACCAGTCCAAGGGAAGTGTTTTGGTTTTTTGGTTTTTTCTGTCAAGACCCATTTGTAGCCTCCTGGGGCTATAAGCATCTGTTCTGTCCAAAATACTGGGCAGCTATGTGTGGGGCCTTCCCACTGAGGATCTGTCCTAGAGCCATCTGCAGTCTCTGTGTCTCTGTTGGGAGACAGGATGGCTCTTGTCAGCATTTTGTGCCTCCGAGGCTGCAGGAGGGATGTGTGAAGGATCATGGCATCTCTGCATGACTGCGGCCCATGTCATGGGTGCACCCTGACCCAGCAGGGTCTCTTGCCTGCTTTAACGCAGATGCACAAAGGCTACTCCACGCATCCTAGCTGCTCAGGCTGCAGGGGCACACACATGGGGACCTCATGGACCTTCACACCTATGGAGGTTCTCAGGGGGCTCTTGGAATTTACACCTACACACGACTGCCCTCGTACCCAGAATAGACAGAAGAGACTCCTGTAGGGGACAGGAACTATTCTGAATACCATGCATGTGCTCCCCATCGGAGGGAGGTGCCCTGTTCTATAAGACCCCACGTTCTGTGTTATCATGTGGTGACTGGGTAGCCACCCAGGAATCAAAGGTTCATCAACCCCAGTTCTTTTATTCTTTCTTTTTCTTAAACCTTGCTTTTGCCTTGATTCAGTGACTCAGGGTTGTTCCACTCAGGGTTGACTCCCACTTCTGATGCCAACGTGTCGGGGGTTCCCAAGACCACCCTTAGGTAAAGTGATTCACTAGAAAGACTTGGGGGACTCATAAAAGCCATTATACTCACAGTTATGGTTTATTACAGCAAAAGGATACCGATTAAAATCAGCAAAGGTAAATCAGGGTTTGGTCATATAGGCATGGAGTGCCCATGTGGGTGACCTTAGCTACTCAGTCTCCAGCCCCTCCACACGTCCAATTGATACGGTGTGGCCCAAGACCCCCATCATAAATCACACCGTTACTATAGACTGGAGTGGCACAATTCTTCAGGTATACAGAGATGCTGTTTTCAGGGAGGATATCCAAGAGTTCAGAGGTTATATTGATGTCAGAAGTAGGGTCCAGGGGGCCTGATAGTTGGCTTCGTCCCTCCCAGTCCTCTTACCAGGTTCTTGACTCTGCCACAGGAAAGAATTCAAGGGCAGAGTCATAGCAGACAGTGAGAACAAGTTTAATAAAATAGATAAGGAACACAGGTTCCACGGAGAGAGTGTAGCATGCTCCAGAGATTGAACAGGGCTCACACCAAGTTTAACACAAAAATTCAGTGCAGACATCAAGTCTAACACAAAAGCAAGAAAAACATACTTAAGTTTCAGTACAAAGTGCAGGCTGGTTCCAGAGAATGGACAGCCACCTGCTGAAAGTAAGTTAGATACTAAGTAAAGTGTACACACCTCAGCCAGAGAAGTGCAGGTTGCCTTCAGGAAAGTGAGCAAGAACCCCCATCTTCCCCTGGGATTCAGCTTTTATAGTTGAATCCATCTAATGAATATTCAGTTATGTGGGTGCTTCCCGGTTATGTAACATTTAGTCTTGCACATGCTTAGTCGGTTTCTTCCTGGAGCATGTTCATTGGTTGGACCCTATCACATGTACCAGACATATTCAAGAATATTCTGTGCTCTATTGAGTATGCCCAGCCACTGTATTTGCATAAGCCAGCCCCCTGTGGTCTCATCTTCCCCATGCTGGTGCTAAGAATAGGTCTAACTGGCAACAGGAACTTTCCTCCAGGGGAGAGCTCAGAGGATGGGGACTGAGACCTCAGGGCATGGCTGGAAACCCAAAGGCCCATCCTGAAAAGCAAACCCAGGGATACTGAGCATCTCCTATGTCATAGCCCAGGAGCTACTCAAGGGACAGTCCTTTCCTTGGACTGTGCAGGATTTAAACATCCTAAGCCTCTTGAAATGACCTTTTATTGCACAACGACAAGGACAAAGAAATGTTCCAGGAAAATTCACACATGCACCAGAAGGGCATATTTAAATAAACTGCACTGACCTCAGAGAAAACTGAGATAATACATGGAACAGCAGACAGCTTGGAAAATTCTAACTAGTATTCCTCAGAAGGATCCAAGAGGTGTTTACAAGGATGAACTAAGAATTATATAAAAAAAGAGCAATCAGAGAACAAGAGCGAGTACTGGCCAGTACTGGGATCCAAACCCTTGGTGTTATAACACCATTCTCTAACCAACTGAGCTGACCAGGCAGTCCAAGAAAGAGTGTTTACAAATGTAAAATATTATTGCTGAAATTAACCATTTTTGCAGACGGGCTGAATAATAAAATGGACATAGCTAATGAATGAATTGGCAAACTTGAAGGTAAAGTAAAGAAGAATGCTTAGAACTTAGAGCAAAGACTGCAGAAGGGCAGATAACATGTGAAACTAACAGCCATAGATGTAATTTGATTTCATATTGTAAGCTTTTTGCTTAGTTTAAGAGTTAGCCTGGAACCACTATGGCAGTGAAGCATGTAGGTGTCAATAAACAAGTGTGAGGGCTCACAACAGGCAAAAGTGTATGAGAAGTGGCTTAAAGAATGCCATGCTTAACCGGTGCGCTCACAGCGCTCACTGGCTGAGCGCGGTGCGGCCGGTCTCAAAAAGGACACACGCACACACACACAAGAAAGAATGCCATGCTTATCTTAAAGAAAAATGGAGCCAGAAAAACATAAAATAATAATAATCATCAGTAATGATTTAGGATAACAAGATGTTTGTTCCTTGAACAATGGTCTGTGATAACATCTCTAACGCCAGTCATCTCTGACACCAGAGACCACAGACCTACTGAAACACACATACTCCCCAGACTTGATGAAGCCAATAAAGACATTACTCAAGATGCCAGAAATAGTTTTTCTGACTTAATTCCAATAAGTGCAAGTGTAAGTTGGTTAAGAGATTTAAAAGATCCCCAGATGACTCCCCTACTCCTGATGTTTGCTCTATAAATGCTTGTGATTTTTTTTTTCCTTTTTGTCTTTTTTTCGTGACCGGCAACGGATCGCAACCCTCAGTGTCGCGCCCGTACCGGACCGGGACCAGCAACGGGATCGCAACCCTCGGTGTTGCTCCCACACCTCGCTCAGCCAGTGAGCGGCCGGTCTGTATGTGGGATCCGAACCCTCGGCGGGAGCGCCGCCACGCTTCCCAAGCGGCGCACTGTAGCAGTGCACCACCGGGCTGGCCCTAAATGCTTGTGATTTTAAGCCATTGGGGAGTTCGAATTTTGAGAGCACTAGCTTCCCGTTCTCCTCGACTAGCACCTTTCAGTTAAAGCCTCACTTTTACTAGTGCGTATCCTGGTGTACTACCTAATTGGCACTTAATCTGTGCTGGGCAAGTAGACCCTTCCAGGTTCATAACACATGAGAGAAAGACATAAAGCCATAGAGGACCATGCAAGATTGGCTCCCAAACTGATCGTTTAAGCTGGGTGACTGGTGTAGGGTGATCTTTGTATTCACCTACATCTGTGTATATTTACAATTTTCCAGAGTAAAATGTGTTTTAAATAAAAGAAAGGATTGAGAAAGATAAAGGACAAGCCAGGCTGTGGACTTCCCATCCCTGGAGCATTAGCAAGGCAGGGTGTCGACTCGTATCTGTCCACAGCAGTGCAAACTGTCCTAGATTGTGCAAGTCTGAAGACGAGGAAGCATTTCCTGCACTTTGAATTATTCCTGACACATCAGCTGAAACAAGGAGCATAATGAGCACACTTGGAAACAGAGCACTGTGGAGTCTAGTTGCATTTCCAAGTCAAATACTTTGCCAGATTGTGATGATTTTACCACTTTAGTACCACACTCAGGAGGTGAACAGACACCTGTGAGCAAAAAAAGGGAATGTGTGTGAGTTCTAAGTAACAGCTCATTAATGATGATGATGACAGTGCTGGTGATGATGGCAACTGTTGTGGTGTCCTCAAACAATACTTACTGTGAAACGCAGTGATTCTGATAATCTCAGAATTCTCTAGCACAATTTCTTAGGCAAAACTAAAAAACATCTCGAGCAGGCAATATGTGCCATTATCCCCATAAGCTATCAGTGAATCATATGAAACTTCATTTTCTTTTGCAATCACAAAAGTCCATCATATTGTTCATGGAAATACTTTACTATCTTACAAGTATTACAGCAAGCATATTCCAGTGTGTACATTCCAGTAAGTGCAAGCATAGATTGGTTACGAGATTTATTTTTTGTGATTTCTTTCTAAATGTTTTTATTTTGACTTTTAAAATGTGCTAATGAAGAAATCGCAAATGGGATGAAAGCTGATGTGGAAATATTAGATAAGATAGAACCCAAGGCTAGCAGTTTTAAGTAAGAAATGTAGGGATATCTTACATGGAGGAAAGTTACACTCCATTGGAAAGATGTAGGAGGCGTGAGACTTTCCACCCCCAACAAGAGAGCTCTTGGAAATACCTAAGCAAAAAAAAAAATGTTCCAGATACACAAGAAACTAATTAATCCATATTTTTTCTTTCGGAAATCAAGAGATTAAGTAGAGGATCAAAATAAGTAAGGGAAAGGACAGTACCACCGGAGTAATAACTGGGCATGATTTCGGCTGAAATCAAGCATTTGGGGCTGCTCAGAAAGCCAACATGTCCCCCCACGGGTGACGAGCCCCACGGAAGGGGAGTTGCCTGGAGGCTGGATTGATGGTGGCATCGGAAAGGATGGGTCCTTTTGGAGCAGCAGGGAAAACTCAGGAGTCAGGAAGGGTTACCACATCCCTCCTCCCCCAGTGCCCAAGGCTGGCCAGCTTTCCTCCTCCCCTCAATCTCTGTGAGGGCCCTTATCCCCAGAGCCAGGGCCACGCTGCCCCTGGTGGGACAGAGAGAATGGACGGGAGGTGCCTGCTATTTGTGTGGTCAGAGGAAGACAGCAGGCAGGTTTCGTCTTTCCTGTTGAGATTCCTCCAGCCACCCTCCCCCTTAAATAATGAGTCTCCCTCTCAGAGTCCGGGCATCCTGCCCCCATCTCAGGCCCTGCAGAGCCCCAGGTTCAACGCGAATGGCCCAGGGGGCAGAGTGGGGTGTGCGTGGCCTCGCAGGTCACAAACCGTCACACAAGCCCATGTCTGCTGACAAGCTGCGAGCCTTGCAATGAAGGTGGGAAAAGTGGGTGATGGAGGCGAGGAGCAGCTGGCCCGGGAAGGGGTAACTTCTTAGACTGAGCCCCAAGCACCAGAGGAGGGGCAGGGGGGAATTAAGATGGAGGGAACAACATCTGCAGAGACGGGGGGTCGGGTACACACAAGACCCACATGGCTAGTGCCGGTGGAGCAGAGTGAGGACGGGGACAGGTGGCAGGAGGGATGGGGGAGGCTCTGCAGGGGGGGCACAGGACTGGGACAGGACCCTAAAGAGCTCTGGATGCCATTGGGGGTGTTAAGTGCTGGCGGGACTTGTTCCCGAGTGGATTTTAATCCCTTCTGGGAAATGAAAGCTAATAGGCCAGGGGTGTATGCCCCCCACCCACCGACCACCCCCAGCGAGATGTGGGAGGGGGCGGGGGGGGGACTTGCAGGGAGGGAAAACTTCCTAGGGGCTGCGCCCTCCCTGGTTTGGGGAACCAGACCACCTCTCCAGCCCTCCTCCTCAGGCTCACAGGTGAGCAGGATTTGCTTCGGATGGGTGCATTTTCCCTGAAGCAGGGACTGTGGGGGGTCAAGGGCAGGAGTCTGGGCCAGAGCTTCTCCCACCTTCTTGTGCTCCAACGTTAGGGATGAGCAAAATGCAGATCTGCTTTGGAGTTCAGGAAGCCGGCTGAGTCAGCCGTGCTGGACTGGTCTCTTGGCCACGCAGATGCTGGGGTTGGGGTACCCTGATGGGGGGCCCGACAGGACTGATGCTCCCCCCGGCCCCAGCCACCTCATGGTGCTGCTGCAGCTCCTTAGGGACTGAGAGCCTCACCAGGGGTCTGCTCCAGCTCTGAATCATCCCATACCCCAGGACCACCCTCAACACATGGGGGAGGGGGTTGTCGGAAAGAAATGCCCATCCCTAGTGTCCTTGTCCTCCATGGGCCAATGTGGCAGCCCCAGGAGAACTGGGGCCCAACTGCCCACGATGGCAACCTCCTCGTTCCTGCAAACTCATTGGCATTTCTTCCTTCACCGCTTTGGTTTCCCCACTTCTCCCCACCTGTGCTTCCAAGGATCACCTCCCAAACAAACTACCTGCACCCAAATCTTGGTCCAGGTTGGCCTTTGGGGAGACCACAGTAAGACCAGGAGCATCTGGCACTTGTGGGATGGGGGGTGTCATCAATTGGGAACGCTCCACATCAACCCCCCCCCCACCCCAGACTTCCCATCGCCCATACACCCTGGAGCTACTACTGTCCTTCCATAAATTATCCTTCTTTTTTTTTTTTTTTCCTTTTTGTCTTTTTTCGTGACTGGCAACGGGATCGCAACCCTCGGTGTTGCGCCCGCACCACGCTCAACCAGTGAGTGGACTGGTCTCTATATGGGATCCGAACCCTCGGCGGGAGCACCGCCACACTCCCAAGCGCCGCACTCTACCGAGTGCGCCACCAGGCCAGCCCCATAAATTATCCTTCTGATCCAACTAACCAGCGAGGGTTCTGCTGTTTGCCACCAAAACTTGGATAAGGTGGACAAAGATTTAGGAGTTAAGGACAAGTCTTGGGCTGGACTGGACATGGTGAATGGGAGTGAGTTGTCAGGAAGCCTCCTGGGTTCGGGGAATGCTCTGCAAGACATCAGCTTGAACGTGTTTATTAGCACACAGAAGAGGACCAGAACCTGACTCAGCAGATGGCCCCGACCCTCACGGGCTGGGGTGGGCTCACGCTGGCTGCAGGAATGGGAGAGCCCACAGCAGAGCAAGGACCAACAGAGGCAGGGAGGAGTCTGGCCTGGGCATGCCGCTGCGGGCCATCAGCATCTGGATCCATTTGAAGTGCTGACTGACATTGGTGTAGACTCCGGGCCGGTTGGGCCGACCACAGCCCACTCCCCAGCTCACGACTCCAACCTGATACCACAGGCCCTTCATGTCGCAGACCAAGGGTCCACCTGAGTCACCCTGGGAAGCAGCATGGATGAGCCTGGCCCAGGGCAGGGCAAGCAGTGCCCACAGAGAGGCTGGGAGAGTGGGAGGGGCTGTGGAGTTGGGGGGCAGACTGGGTGCAAATCCCACTCCTCCCCCGGCAACAACTGAGCTTCAGTTTCTGCATCTGTGAAGTGGGGCAGTAGCCTCCCAGGGTTGGTGTGAGATCAAATGAGGGACAGGGAGACAGGGTACTGTCAGCCCAGGACCGGGAATGCTGGGATATCTAGGCCCAGGAGACCCTGGTGGGGCAGGGAGTGACACTCACGAAGCAGGCATCCTTGCCACCTTGGGGATGGCCAGCACAAACCATGTCTCCCCAGATGTCCAAGCGGAAATCAGACTTTTGGAACAGGTGGTTACACATGGTGTTGTTTATGACGCTGACCTCCGCTTCCTGAAGGGTGTAGGGAGATGGCAGAGCTGTTGGGGAGACAGGGGGGGCAAAAAAGAGGGACACTTGAACCTCTTCTCTAGCAAGGATGACATAGGCTGTGGGGGTGAGGGTGTCCCTGGCACACCCATGGTGTCTGGCTTATTGCTCTGGATGACTCCCGAGCTCTAGCCCAGAATCCAGCACATCCTGTGTGCTCAACAATATCACAGAAGGACCCAGTGGATGGACAGGATCTTAGAGCTCCCCCCAGACTCAGTTCTCTGTCTGTAGAATAGAGATGATAGCCCCTGCCTGAGCCGATGGAGAGATTCCTTAGCTAAAACATGCACAGAGGAGGAGCTAAGGCAACTGAGATGATTTTATGATTAGCACAACCCAGCTGCATCATCGGGTGTCAGACCAGGTGGGGCAGTCCGTTGGGCTCTCTGTCCTCTATAGCATCTGGGCACTTTCAGGGCCTGAGCTAAGGACTTTATGATGTCCTCTTAGGGCTGCTTCAGCACCCTGGGATGCAGTAGCCATCATGATCCACTTCCAGACAGATAAGGAAAAAGTTGGGGGAGGATTCCCTACCCCTGTCCCTGTCAAGGCACCAGGGAAGGGTCAGAGCCTGATGTGAACCCACGTCTGCTCAATTCCTAAGTCTGGGTCCCAGTCAGCACCTTATCCTGCAGAGGACAATGACAGCTACAATAATAAAAATAAGAGCTAACAAGTACATAGCACTTCCTGTAGGCTAGACACTCTTCTAAGCCCTTATGGATTAACTCTTTTAAACCTCAGAGCTACCCTATGTTCAGTGTCTTATACCAGCCAGCTGCCAAAAAAAAAAAAAAAGAACTACCTTATGAAATTAGAACTACTATTACCCAGTTTTACAGATAAGGAAACTGAGGCTCAGTTAGATGAAGTGCTTTGCCCAAGGTCTCTCAGCTTGCACGTGGCACAGTGAAAGTTCACGCCAGGCAGGGGGGCTCCAGCAGTGCCTCCTACCTGCCTACCATGCACTGTGAGAGTGAGGATGGAGCCTGGATGTGAGGTGGCCCCCTATCAGTCCTGAGCCCAGGAAGGAGGGCGGGTGGCTGAGCCAGCATGGCTGGGCCCCTTGGCTCATACCCACACATCTATTGAAGCAGGGACCCTTCCTAGGGGAAGGGAAAGGACCCCTATTCTACAGGAAGACAGATATAGTGTTAAGTTCTCTATCCCCCTTTCCAATTCCAGGTGTGTAACTTTGGGAACATCCCTTACTCTCTCTGAGCCAATGAGCCCTGGCTTCTCCATTTACTAGTTCTGGGACCTTGGGCAATTTACATAACTCTCAGTTTCCTCATCTGCAAAATGGGTATAAAAGCATTTCCAACTTCATTCGTATGTAAGTTCCAGGAGGAACAGAGATCTTGCCTCGCTCACTCCTGGGTCCCTAAGCCTAGAACAGTGCCAAGCACACAGCATGTGTGCAAGGAGCTGTACCTGTTATTATTGCGATTGTTATAGCATAATGCAGGCATGCGCCAGGCCAGGGAGCAGTGCAAAGGGGCATTCCAGGCACAGGGAACATGCCCATTCTGGGGAGTTGGTGGCCCCAGGGCACCTCTGGGAATGCTGTTTCAGGGGATTCATGTTGAGGGGGAAGCAGATGCTAGATCATGCTGGCCCGAGGGCCCCCCAGAAGGGATTCAGTGGGGAGACAGGTTAGAGGAGGATGGTTTAGACATTTTGAGGAGAGAGAAAAATAAGCTCACACTCCAGGAGAGTCAGTCAGAACTAGGGTAGATGCAGAAGGCAGGGAGGAGCCACAGTGGGGAGCTTAATGGCTGGGGGGGGGGGGGGGGGACCCCCCAAACTGAAAA